GCACCCTGGGCTCTGAGCCCTGAGCCCTGGGCCGTGCTCCCTGCTGCTCCCTGCGGGAGTTGGGGGGGCGGGCTAGCCAGGTTTGTGACCTGGAGGTTCGAGGGCACTAGACACCGTCTCCTGTGGGAAGCCTTGGACCTTGGATCGCTCCCTTGGGGCTTGTTAGAGCAGAAGTTTCGTTATGAGAATGAGTTTACTTCCAAACATTTCTGTAACTAGGTAGGAAGAGGCTTTGTTATGGCCAGATGCCATGTGAAGGGAGCCAGTCAGAATCCAAAAAGCATTTCCTGTCAAGGCAACACGAATTTACTAAGCACTTACTGTGTGCGGGGCACTGGGCTAAGCGCTGGGGTTATAAAGAAAGGCATCCCTGCCCTCAAGGTGCTCACAGTCTAAAGGGGAATGTCCAGACGGGATATGTGCGAGATCAAATGGAGATAATCAGCAGAAGCAAGACATGAGCATTAAGGGGCATGGAGAAATCTATTAGCAGAAGACAGGACCTTCGCTGGGGTTTAAGGCAGCCAGGAGTGCCAGGCAGCAGGCAGGAGCTGGGGACGGAGAGAGTTCCAGCAATGGGGGACAGACTGCAACATCATCGGATTGCAGAGTGGAGGAGAAAGGTGTAAGAAGACAGGAAAGACAGAAAGGGAGTACTGTAAGGGGCTTTAAAAGCCAAATGGGGTTTTTATATTTAATCCTGAATGGCATAGGGAGCCTCCCGAGTTTATTCAATATGAAAGTGACATGGTCATACCTGAGCTTTAAGATCACTTTGGCAGCAGAAGGGGAGGGACTGGAGAGGGGACAGATTGGAGGCAGAGAGACCACCCAGCAGCTACAGCAATAGTCCAAGCCTGAGGTGATGAAGGCTTGCACTGGGCAGTGGCAGGGTCAGCAGACAGGAGGAGATAGGGATGTTGGGAAAGTCAAAACAAGACTGCAATGGACAGGACTTGGCAGGTGGTTTGAATATGGTTGGGGGTGAGAGGATGCCACTTAGGGGTCTGGCCTGGGTGACTGGAAGGATGGTGGTACCCTGGACAGTAGCAGGAAAGTTGGGAAAAGGTGTCTATTTGATAGCATTCCCAGAACTGTACAGGAAAAGGGAGGACAACAGTAGGGCATGAAGATGGCAGAGGGCAGCAGGAAGCTGGGCTGGGCTGGGCTAGTTAAGAACTCTCCCAATTAGAAGAGCAGGGGCCCTGGAAAGGAGCTGGAGAGCTGAAGCTGAGACAGGAAGTTGGTAGGAAGGTGGCCATAAAGACCACTTCTTGCTATTAGCTATTAGAGTTGGGGGGCATCCCCCCTCCCAATTACACACACACACACACACACACATCCCATATATGCCTTTATTTCTTCTGGCCAGACTTATTCATGAAAACATTTGGAGGTGACAAATGGGCTGCTCCCAAACGTATGGTGACCCATTACTGAAATTTCTTGGCTTCTTGGCATGAGGGAGGCACCCCTTTGGGGTCCCTTGCTTATTTCCCACCATGACAGCAAGAAGAGGAACCACCACTTTGGGGTCTCTTGCTCATCTCACCGTAACAACAGCATGGCCATACTGCTAGGTGGTACACTGGGCTGAAAGGCAGGAAGACCTGAGTTCAAATGCAGCCTCAGACACTTACTAGCTGTGTCACCCTGGATAAGTCCCTTAACCTCTGTTGGTCTTAGTTCCCTCAACTGTAACATGGAGATAGTAATTGCCTACCTCCAGAGCTGTTGTAAGGATCAAATGAAATAACGTGGTAAAGTGCTTAGCACAGTTCCTGACATACAATAGGTGCTTGATAAAGGCCAGTTTTCTTCTTTCCTATTCACTAAGCCATCTGGTTGCTATTTGGAGGAAACTTCTACTCAAAGAAGATTGGATTGGATTGGAAATGATGGAAGAGGGAGTGATATCCAATGTGATTAGAAAGAGAGAGATTGGATCAAATTGCAAAGGGCTCTTAACAGCCAAACAGAAGACTTAATTTTTTATTCTAGAGGCAATGGGACACTATGGGAATTTATTGAGTAGGGAATTGACATGCCCAGATCTCTGTTAAAGTTGTTAGTTTGTCAACAGTTTGTAGGATGGATTGGAGTGGTGAGAGACTTGAGGCAGGGAGACCGATGACAGAGGCCTCCTAACAAGCAAGGTGAGACATAAGGAGGGTCTGAGCTACGGTAGCAGCTGACTGAGCAGAGAGGAGTAAGACAAAGATGGTGTGGAGACTTACCAAAAGATTTGACAATTGATTGAATATGTAGGATGAGGGGGAGGTTACGCATTCAGGAGACTGGAAGAATGGTAGTGCCCTTGGCAAAAAGAGGGAAATTCTCAAGTGTGGTTTTGGAGAAAAGATCATGATTTTCATTTTGGACATTTCGAAATATCTCTGGGGCATTCAGTTAGAAATATCCAATAGGTCATGTAGAACTAAAGCTCAGAGGAGAGACAGGGGCTGGAGATAGAGATCTGGGAGTCAACTGCTTAAAGATAACTGAGGAGGTCACCCAGAGAGAAAGTGTGAGAAGAGAAGAGGGCCTGAGAGTGAGCCTTGGGGAATATCCACAGGTGTGTGGATGAGAATGATGAAGGTGCAGTCACACAAGCGGAAGAACCGAGAGTGAGGAGTGTCGTGACAACCCAGAGAGGAGAGGGTGTGATCAACAATAACAGATGCAGTGACAGGTTGAGAAAGATGAGGATTGAAAAAAGACCACGAGATTAAGTAACTAAGAGATCTTTGAGACTTGAGTCTCATATCTCACAGCCCCTCAAAGCCTGACCCGGAACCACGTTCAGGCTTGGGTTCTCTCCAGGTCCAAGATGGGAACTGTCGGCTGATTGTGAATGTCATGAAGGAAGGCCAGATTCCCCATAATGAGATCACTGTCATGATCAGCTGGTGCAGCTGGCATGGCACAGTACCATCAGTATCTTAAATAAAGGATTTGACTATTGAGTTGACTCTTGTCCCATGTTGTAGAAGACGCACTCAAGGGGGAGATACGTGGCAGCCTTTTCCTCAGAACAGCAAGGATTTTCTCTGGCACAGTGTGACTGCAAACTCAAAGCTGGTTGTTGTTACGGCTGGGACACGGCAGCTAGAGAGAGAAAGTCGCCTTCATTTGGTCCAGCATAAGGTGAACATCTTTAAATTCATCATTCCTAATATTACCAAATACAGCATGAATAGCAAGCTGCTTATTTTTTTCTAACCTAGTGAATATTTTGACATACGTGGCCCAGAAACAAAGTGGCCGTCCCCAAAACTGTGCTATTAGGAGTCGCTGTAATCTGAATTTTGCCCAATTCCATTACCGACTAGGGGAGACACTCAGTGTCCATTCTTTAAGTTATCTCTGGGAACACGGAGGCTCTAGCTTTCCTATGTGGAGTGGTGTGAATGTTTTGTGTGGGGAGGGAGTCTCTCCGAAGAATCTTCATCCTGCCTTAGGAACTGCTGCTCAGTCAGAACATTGGAAAGATGTTAATAAAGAGGTGGTTAAAAGTGCTTATGAGGCAATCAAGGTAAAGGACTACATTTCCTGGGCCATTGGCTTGACTGTGGCAGATCTGGTGGAAAGTATAATGAAGAGCCTTAGAATAGGGCATCCAATTTCCATTTATCACGCAGTGGGCTCTGAGCTTTACTAGATAACCATTTTATGTTAGTATGTGGCAGAAGCACTTTTTGAATAAATTTTGAATAAAAAGACTCATACCCAGTGGTTGAGATTTAATAAAGTTAATCATTTTTATTGCTTCATCAAGGACATTCTTAAGTGAAACTGGTTCTTTTTTTTCCCCTTGCAAGTGTCTGGTGATAAAAGACTACAAGAATTGGGTGCGCTGCCTTGATTCGCCCAAAAGTGACAGCGATTTTATAAAGCAGAAATGTAAAATCCATGAACACAATCTAGTCGCCTCCCAAAGTTAGAAATGGGGAATAGTAAGGTGGCTCCTTCTGTTTGTTGAATCCTGTTGTTCGAAAACTGATGTTGGACGTGGCTTGTATTATACAATCATTAAGTGGTTGCCAGCAGAACCAGCACTACATAAATATAAATGTGTGTAGATAGATAGATAGATAGATAGATAGATAGATAGATAGATAGATAGATAGATGGATGGATATAAAATCACTGCCTTGGGTGCTACAGGTGCCCTTAGGTCTAGAATCGAGCAATAAACATTTATTAAGTACCTACTATGTGTTAGGCACTGTGCTGGGCACTGGACAACTTCTGGTTTCTTGACATAAAACATCATACAGTAGAAATACTTTGCTGATAGATTACATTTGTGCCCCCCTCCATTGGGGGTCCACAGTATGGCCCTATTCATAACCTTCC